TAGGGTAGATTAATTAATTTTTGAATTATTATATTTAGTAAAAATATTTATTTATATATTAATTAATTAAAAAATCTCTGATTTTTGAATTAGTAAACATAACCTCTAATTTATGAATTGAGATTTTTAAATATCTGGATTCCTGTAATTCATACATTAGGATATATTTTTAAAGATTGTAGTTCAAAAATCAGGTACAAGATTTACTTATTCATAAATTAGATAATAATTCAACTATTAATAATAATAATATAAACTAAATTAATCTACAAATTCACCGCACCGCACCCCACCCATTCATCTCAATTTTAATTTTAAACCGTCATTTATTTCTCTCTCTCTCTCTCCCCTCACTCTTGCGTCTTCTCCGACGACTTTTTTCAAGCGCCATGCCCGCGATCAATCATCGTCAGAGAAACCAAACCCTTATATTCGACTTTGGACGCAACTTGAAAGAAGGGCGAGTATAATCAAATTTGGGGGTTTAGGGTCAGATGATAATGATCCACAATCTCGAACTAGGGTGAACGAGGAAAGCTGCCTTTAAAGAGATTCTTGTGGTGGAGAGAGAAGTAGATCCGGACAAAAGCTCTACCACCAAAGAACCACGCTGAACCCCTAGAAACTTCTCTCTTTCAACTGATGGTAGTCGCTTCAGATGTCGCCATGCAATCGCCGCTTCAAATTGTGGTGGAGTTCGCTTGGCGTTGCCTACCTAAGAGATATTATGTTTGGGTGTTATTGGTCTTGTGGTGGTGGTGTCTTGGTGTTGGTGTTGGTGTTATCATGGTGGTGGCGACATCGATGATGTTGAGGGTGGGGGCTATTTTTGGCTAGTTATTTTGGTTGATTATGACCAATACATAATATGTAACTTAAAATGTCACTGTGATCAACATTTTATTAAGTTGTGATCGATAAATAACTTATAACCAGCTAATTTGATAATTTGTACTTATAAAATTTGTAATTTGTGATTGATAAATAAATTGTGATATGGTAAAAAATTTTATTTGTAACCTATAAAATTTTAGATTTATAATTGATGAATAAATTGTGACATATAAATTTTTTATTTGTGACCGAGAAATAATTTGTGACTAATTAGTTCATTAATTTGTGACCAATTATATAGAATTGTGACTTTAATATATTTAATTAATAAAATAATTTTTTAATTAATTATTTTATAAATAAATTTTAATAATATCTGATTTTTAAAATTTTAAAACTTGTTTTCTTAGTTTTGAAATGAATTATAGTTAACCCAAAATGGAAATATGTACGAAAATATCTATCAAATGTATTTCTCCAATCATGTTCACCATTCACCATATCAAACATTGTGAACCCATTAACCATGTTTGTTGTTTTGAAATTCCTACCAAATTGGCATGAGTTCGTGCAAAAATTTGACTTTGTAACGTAGTTCTTTAAAAATTAGAATATCTATCTATTTTGGTAAAACATTACAAAAATTACTACTATAATCAAATATTGCAAGTCTATAATCAAATAAAACTAATATGTAAAAAAAAAAAAAAAAATTAATCATTACAACAAATCCGAAAATCGAGAACAAATTCGAATAATTTAAAATGTAATTATCGTCTAAGCAACCTTATAAGAAAATGCCAATGTCCCTTTATATTGTTTAGCATTGTCCATCAATAGAGGGGTGGGATGTTTTGCTTTGCCACAAAGGCACTGTTGATGGTAAAATCTTAGCTCAGTTTGATGAAAACTCGCTATCTTCTGTGGCTTGTAATGTGATGGGATACCAAATGCAGCAGTTAGATCATTATCACTGAGTAAAAACCAAGTAAAATAGGCTGCCGACGCTGCATGTTTCGTGTTAGATTGAATATTACTGTGCGTAGTCAACATAAATTTGTCAAGTTTGAATTGGCCACTTTCAAATCTATCATTGAAATAGCATTCTCTCATACTTAAAATTTTCAAAAATGCGAATGTTACACTCACACTTAGCCACTGTTTGTGTAAAATTAAAAATTGTTAGTGGGATTCACTATTATTCTCTTAAAAAATTATTAATTATTTTACACGAATAGAGACTTGTTAAAAATTGTATACTTTGACTAGAGGGTCAAATCGACTACTCAACCACGTGACCCGAAGCCCAATATGCTAATCAACTGCTTTACTTTTGATCAAGTTGAACGTGAAATCTACTCGCTTTTCTTCTCTATCTTCCATTTGTTTTGAATGCGAAAGATTTCTTAGCAGTTCATTGGTGAAAAACATGGTTGCTCGATGAAGTCTTGAGCTGGTTAAAAGATTTGGTCACAATGTGTTTTTTCTTTTTGGAGTATTAGCCTATTAGGAGACAAACTAACGTCAAATGAGATACCATGTCATTTTTCGATTATTCATTTATTATTTAATGAATATTTTTGGACATAATCTTCCTTTAGCGCTAAGGGGTTACACAACTAAGATGTTAAATTGAAGGACAAATCAAGTACATTTTAATGTTTAGAAACTTATACCTAGAAGGTATAAAGTTCGGGACCAACTAGGCTTTTTCATGCAATCTTCATCCTAAACATGTTATGGACCTATTTGGCGTGTTTTTTGGGTAGTTACAAAGAGCTTTTGAAATCCAAAAGTTACTTTTGAATTCGTTTCGTTAATTTTGTGAAAACGATTTTTCTATTTATAGGAGCTTTTAAAAGAATATGGTTCAATGTAGTTTCTTTTAAAAGTACTTTCAGAACATAAAACTCTTTTATAAATTAATTTTCAAACAAAAGTTAAGGTGATTTCTTTATAAAACTCTTTTACAAAAAACAAAAATAATGCTAAATATGCCCTATGTTTTTTTAGCTAAATATTAAATAAAATGAATTAATTTTCCATATTAGCAAAATGAGAAAAAAAAAAAAAAGGCATTTTTTCTACCATTAAGCTGCTGCTTTAGCCCCTCTGATGGAAATGTGTATTAGAATAATGATTTTTTGAAAAATGTGTTGTTCAAAAAAGTATAAAAGTTTTAAATTTACATGTAAGCCATGTTTAATGGTCGTTATAAAGAAAAAAAATTAGGAAAATGATGTTTTTAATAATAATTTTTAGTAGAATCCGTGGTTAAAAAATAGAGAAAAATTTGAATTTACATATAGAATAATTTTTTTATAAATGTGTCGTCGAAAATAAGTATGAAAAAACTAAAAAGTTTTATTTTTAGAGCCTGTTTGGTATGGATTTTGATTTTTTACAGTAAATCAATTTTCATTTTCAACCACACATTCTGTAATAAAATAATATTTTCTATCACATCAATAATTTTTTCTTCTTTTTCAACCACACATTTCCCATCATATCACTATTCAAAAATCAATTTTTCCCCCAAAAATTCCTACCAAACACACTCTTAGGCACCGTTTGGTAACCATTATTCTAGAAAAAAATGTATTCTTTATGACAAATCACATCTTTTTTGTGGTTGAAAATGAA